AAATTTTATGGAGAAAAAAATGCTAGTATTTACTGGGACTTACTCTATGTCAAACATCCTGCTGAGTGCTTTACATATTTATTTCATTTAATCCTCATAACACCCTTAAGAGTTTGGTATGAATGACTGTTTTCAGCAAGTGAGGAAACACAGGCTTAGAGAGGTAAGTGATTTGGCTTGCACCTATAAGTCAGCAGAGGCAAGTTCAGATGCAGTTTTTGCTGTCTCATGACAGAGTTAGATGGAGCATCTAATAGCACACACAGAGACAGACTCAGCCCGCAGAACAGATTCGTGTTGGCAGAAACAGCAGGACAGACTGCAAGAGTGGACAGATGGATGGGCGTCTCCTTGAAGTCAGGGGAAAAAGATGCTCTCTCTTCTCTCTTTAAAGGATGCAACCACAGCCCTAAATTGAACTGGGAAGGAGATCTGAACATTTGAGGTTGGTTGGCCTCATTTTGATCGTGTGCCTAATAATCTGTCATCATTTAAAGGCCATTTCCTCCGCACCTGCATCGAGAGTGCATCCAGAGGCTGAGGCCGTGAGGAGCAATCACAGAGTCCCTGCTCTGTTCCTTCTCAGCCGCGTGTCCCCCTTTCAACCATGCACAGCTCATAGGTACCATGGCTTCCACAGCCTGTAAGATGGGAACTGGGGAGAGGGGAGGTAACCGCCTCCTGCCTGACAGCCTTCCTGACATGTCGGCATTAGGGTTGACAAAGATAGAAATAACAAAGTGACAAAGCTGTAGATTCAGGTGGAATGCATGTCATTTAATCTGGGAGAGACCTGAAGATTGACAGTTTTCCATAGTTCTCTTCTTGGAAGAAATCCACAGACATCAAATCTCATACCCAGATGTTTAGCACTGGATCTTGTTATGACAGTTTAGTGACAGGCAGGATTTTTCTTCATTCCTATTGTTCCAGTGTTTGTAGGGAAACATTTTATATGTGTAGACTGATTTATTTAAATAATTTAATATATGCATGCATTTGGTTCTTTGTTGGGTCATAAATCAAAGATCCAAACAAGGGGGCACTGGCATTCCAATTCCCCTTTGCCTATCTACTATGTTGGGTGCCAGAACTTTGGTGTATTCTCCTTATTCACCCCAGATCCTGGGGTTTCTGGGGCTCCACTTAGGATGCTGGCTTCTGAATTTCCCTAATCCATCTCTGAGAACCTGGGGACCTGCCTTTGCTTTCAAGTGTCTTTACAGTACCCATTTGCTTGTCCAAAATATAGAACTGGGAAAGAAAGCCAAATTCAACTTGTCCTTTTAAGAATTCTGGCAGTGGGGTCTAGAATCCAGTAGATGAAACCCTGACTCCCTTGCTTGTTAGCCATTTGACCTTGGACAAATTAGTTTACATTCTTATGAGCCTCAGTTGTTTATCTGTAGAGTGGATATTGTCCCGTACGGCTCCTGTTTCTCTTGGGATGAAGTGGGAGTGTGCATGCAGAGCCCTTCAGCCTGGGGAGATGTCCTCTATAGGATCAATTGGCGCTCTTAGAAGAAAGGTCAGCATCCCACACATCTAGAGTCCTAAAAAAACTATTGAGATGAACTATAGACTAGCAACTGCCTAGGGTTGCAGGTTGGAGGACTAGGGCTGACTTCTAGTAAGCATGACATTTATTTGGGAATGATAAAAGCATTTTGGAGATAAGTAGTCATAAGGGTTGAAGAAATGTATGAATATACTAAAACCCCACTGGTGTACACTTTAGATGGCTGAATTTTATGTGTGAGATTTTGTTTTGTTTTAAACAGGGTTTCTCTGTAGCTTTGGAGTCTGTCCTGGAACTTGCTCTGTAAACCAGGCTGGTCTCGAACTCACAGAGATACACTTGTCTACCTCCCAAGTTCTGAGAACTTATGTTTAAGAATTTTTAATAGAAAATTTGTTTTGCAGCTAAAAGCATGAACTCTGAAGTTAATTCATCTTGAGGAATCACTCCCCGTCTCCACCCTGCAAGAAGAATGAAATGTCATCTTGCTGGAAGCCTGTGTTCCTTTCCAGGTAAATCATTTGTTCTGTGAAGACTGCACAATAAATGTCAACCCAGGACAGTTTTGGCATTTGTGGGAGCCGTAACACACAGCTCTCATCTTCCTGCATGAGGCTGCTGAGCAGTGTGGATTTATGGGCAGAATGAACCAACCACCAAACCTCGCTAAGTCCAGAGTCTCTGTATCTTGTCTCATCTGGGAGACGGTCCAGGTGGTAAGCAAGATGTCTTCCTCCATCTGTGATGGAGAAGCAGGAGCTAGGAATGGAAAAAAATGATCAGATCAGTTGTAAATCTTTTGAAGTGTCATAGTCATCGATTCAAACTGAAAATGAGAACCTGGGTGTCCGTGAATGCATGTGCATATGTTCATGTGCCCACCATGCCTATCATGGAAGAATGAGGAAGGGACTTTACTAAAGAGAAAATGGGGGTCTGTGGGATGAGTCAGTGAGCATACCAGGACTGGAATGTATTGATTCTGGAATTCCATTGAGTCCATTCAATGCTTCCAAAGTATGAATGAAAAAGTGCACAGTTTTCAGACTCAGCCTCGAACGAGGCTGTCAGCAGCACTTAGGGGCAGTGTCATCATGAGGAGGGCTACAAGATTTTCTTGAAAAATTATTTCTTCACTGCTTGAGATGAGCGTGTAGATTAGTGGCCATTTGTCTTATTTTTAAAATGGTTAAATATGTGTTTTTAAAATAAAAGTCTTTTGCCTTGCCTTAATTTTTAATTTCTTCCAGATTAATGGCTGGCCAGTGTTCTGTATACCACACTGAGTTCTTTGGAGAAGCTTGAGCTGTAATGATGTCAAGTGTGGGGGAAGAGGGAATTTAAAGAGGCAATCATTTTTTCCACCACATTGAAGCATCAAGACATTTATCAAATTCTTTATTGAAAAAAATGTGAGGTGTGTGTGTGCATGTTCATGTTAGTGAAAGGTGCACACATGTGTGCCCATGTAAGTCTGTACTGAGATCATAGGATAGCCTCCACTTCATTCTTCAGGCACCACACAACAGTTTATATGTCTTTTTATTAGAAACATAGTTTTTCCTGGCCTGGAGAAATCCAACTGTTCCCCCCTCCCCAGCACCAGGATTCACAGGCTCAGCTTTTTACACATGTTCTGGGGCTCAAAACCTGAGTTTTTGCATGACAAATACTTTATTGACTGAGGCATCTCCCCAGATGAGAAGCACTATTTCTATTTATTTGTTTCTTTATTTATTTTCGAAACAAGGTTTCTCTGTGGCTTTGGAGGTTGTCCTGGAACTAACTCTTGTAGACCAGGCTGGTCTCAAACTCAGAGATCTGCCTGTGCTGGGATTAAAGGATGCGCCACCACTGCCTGGCTCAGAAACACTGTTTTAAAAACCTTCTTGGTTATCTACCTAATGGCTACCTATCAGGGGGATTATAGAGACTGAAAGAGCTTGGTTACAGAAAGAAAAATCAAAGTGAGGTAACATGACAAGCTCTTCCCGAATACTCTGGGCTCTCCTCTGAGCTTGCTTTCATTGAGAATGTCCAGTGACTCAGTTAAGAGACCAAGCAGGGGACAGAAAATACTCTTGCAGATGACCTGAACTTAGCCAAGAAGCAAGTAACAGTCACCATGTATCAACTATCTACCATGTCAAGTCAAAAGCTAGGAATTTTGTCACAGAATCTAGTGAGGCCTTTCTGATTGAGTCAGTTTTGCTGATGAAAGAAACTGAAAGTCTACAAGGTAAAAGTTCCCAAGCCCAGAGTCAAGCAAGGTTCTATGTGTCATTGGAACCAATTCCATTTTTTGTTTTTGGCACTGCAAAACCCCTGGCTGTTGTACTTGCAGTCTTACAACTGTTTTGATACAATGTTTCTAGAATCTTCCTTTGTGCCGTTTCTCTGTGTTCAGAGGTGCTGTCACATTTGCAGCCTAGCAGATCACTTTCACTAAAGCCTTCCTCTTGTGAGTGATGCTGTTGGCCAGGTGAGAATAGAGAGGGGTCCAGGCTCACCTGCCTGAACCAGAACCTTAATTCGTCAAGTTCAGTGCTTCTCAGCCTTCATAATGCTGTGACCCTTTAAAACAGTCCTCATGTTGTGGTGACCCCCAACCATAAAATTACTATAACTTTATTACTGTTATGAATCATTACCTAAATACCCAATTTATTACACTGATATGGTCTTGGTCCTTGGGTTGAGAACCAATGTTATAGAATCTGTTCCTTCAGTTTCTCTGCAAGCGGCTTCCCTCACTCCATGCTCGCTGCCCAATCTCAGAAACTCAAGCATTTTGCTGGAGTTTGTCTAACAAGTACAAAACGGCCACCTTTTCAGTCTTGCCCCTTCTGGCCTGCTCTTCCCTAGAACCATATGTGTTCCACAGAAGGAGTTTTTAAACAGTGACACTACTCCCATTGCTACAAGACTAGGTTTACTCTTCTTAAGGTTCCTCAGAATGACTTTACTGTTTAGGGTTCATCTTCACAAATATTTTTACTTTGAAAACTCCCTACCTAGATCAGAGTTAGATTTTTATGGGGAGTGGGTGGAGGTGGTGGTGGCGTGTGCCTTTAATCCCAGCACTCAGGAGGCAGAGACAGGAGGATCTCAGTGAGTTGGAGACCAACCTGATCTACAGAGTGAGTTCCAGGACAGCCAGGGCTACACAAAGAAACCCTGTCTCAAAAAAACAAAGCAAACAAGCAAAACTAAAAATAGCAATGATTAAAAAAGCTGATTCTCCCCCCCCCACTTTGTATATGGCTTCCAGCCTTTTAAAATCCAAGGTATTCTGTGTCTTTATTCAAATTCTCTCCGCATAGCTTGCACACCACTGGCCAAGATAGCAGCTTGAGATCTAGCTCTTGAATCGACATCTTCACACATAGGAAAGAAGAAAAACGGAAGCGCTTGCTTTTTCCCATTGTGATCCCTTCCAAGATGTTCCACTTAGGAATTCCCGTGTCGTTCGCACGTAACACTGTCACATAGACACATATATGGCCTAACAGAGTGGGAAACGTGGTCACGGCTTTGGCAACTGTTGTCCAGTAAAAACAAAAACAGAACAAATAAACAAAAAACAGAGATCCTGTTACCAAGGTGACAAAAGAAACTGAGAACATCTGATATTCTTCTCTGGCAGTGGAACCTCCAGAAATGGTTCTTTCTGCTCTGGGGACCAACCTACCCCCTACCCAAGCATCTCCAGCAGCATTGACACAGCTTGTGTCCCTGCCATTAGAGAAGTCTCACAGGTGAAGGTGACTATCAGGTACTGAAATTCCCAGGTTTTCTTTTCTTTTTTTTTCTTTTCTTTTCTTTTCTTTTCCAGTTTAAATTTAGATAAGAAACAAGGTTGCTTCACAAGTCAGTTCCAGGTCCCTCTCCCTTTCCCTCCCCTCCTCCCGTGCCCTCCCCCAACCCTCCCCCCCGTTATCCCCTCATTCCCCCAGGGAGGGTGAGGCCCTCCATGGGGGTGTCCATAGTCTGTCATTTCATATAGGGCAGAGCCTAGACCCTTCCCCAAGAGTTCAGGGTGAGAGTGCACCTCACATTGTTCTATGGGAGTCCAAAGTCCGTGTGTATACTTGGGATGGGTACTGATCTGCTGCCCAAGGCTCAATAGATTACCTACGCCTCCTCACTGACACCCAGATTCAGGGGGTCTTGATCAGTCCCATGCTGGATTCCCAGGCTGATGCCTGGGATTCAAGAGTTAACCATTGTCTGGTCAGCTGTTTCTGGGGGTTAAACCAGCCCAGACTTAATCCCTTTGATCATCAGTCCTCCCTCTCTGTTACTGGCTTTCTTGAGTTCAGCTCAGTACTTAACCAAGGCAGTCTGCCTCTTCTTCGATTAACCACTAAATGAAATTTCTGTTTCCCAGACTCTCTGGCCATAGGATTGTAGGCTGGCACTCCCCAGATCTATGTCTAAAATCCATATATGAGAGAGTACATGCCATATTTCTCTTTTTGTGACTGGGTTACCTCACTCAGGATGGTTTCTTCTAGTGTCATCCATTTGCCTGCGAATCTCATGATTCCATTACTTTTTTCTGCTGAATAGTACTCCATTGTGTAGATGTACCACATTTTCTCTATCCACTCTTCGGTTGAGGGACATCTAGGTTGCTTCCAAGTTCTGGCTATTACAAATAAAGCTGCTATGAACATAGTGGAACAAACATCTTTGTTGTATGAATGGGCATCTTTTGGATATATGCCTAAGAGTGGAGTTGCTGGGTCTTGTGGTAGGTTTATTCCCATTTTTCTGAGGAATCTCCATACTGATTTCCAAAGTGGCTGAACCAGTTGGCACTCCCACCAGCAATGGAGGAGTGTCCCCCTTTCACCACATCCTCTCCAGCATAAATTGTCATTGGTGTTTTTGATTTTAGCCATTCTGACAGGAGTGAGATGGTATCTCAGAGTTGTTTTGATTTGCAGTTCCCTGATGGCTGAGGATGTTGAGCACTTTCTTAAGTGTCTATCAGCCATCTTAGATTCTTCTATTGAGAATTCTGTATTTAGTTGTGTACCCCACTTTTTAATTGGGTTATTTGGTGTTTTGGTGAGTTCTTTGTATATTTTGGAGATCAGCCCTCTGTCAGATGTGGGGTTAGTGAATATTTTTTCCCATTCTGTAGGCTGACTTTTTGTCTTGCTGACTGTGTCCTTTGCCTTACAGAAACTTCTCAGTTTCAGTAGGTCCCATTTATTAATTGTTAATCTCACTGTCTGTGCTACTGGTGTTATGTTCAAGACCCAGGATAGCCAAAACAACACTGTTCAACAAGGCAACGTCCGGAGGCATCAACATCTCTGACTTCAAGCTCTATTATAGAGCTAAAGTCCTGAAAACAGCTTGGTATTGGCACAAAAATAGACAGGTAGACCAATGGAATCGAATTGAAAACCCGGGTATTAACCCACACACATATGAACATCTGATCCTTGACAAAGAAGCTAAAAATATACAATGGAATAAAGAAAGCATCTTCAACAAATGGTGCTGGCATAACTGGAGACTGGCATGTAGAAGAATACGGATCGATCCATGTTTATTGCCATGCACAAAACTTAAGTCCAAATGGATCAAAGACCTCAATATAAATCCAGCCACACTGAACCTCTTAGAAGAGAAAGTGGGTGGTACCCTTGAACAAATTGGTACAGGAGACAGCTTCCTGAACATAACCCCAGGTTTTCTTTTCATTTCTTTAAACAGACCATTCTGCTTAACTCTGGTGTGAAAAGTCCACCACAGACATCTGAGACTAAGACCTGGGTGATAATTCTATAGGAGAAACATGCATGGCAAGCATTCCCCAATGGCTGACACAGGCTGGCCCGCTGGAGGGGAGCTCCAACTCTGTCCTGAGACAGAATCAGAAAAGAGAACAAGCAGTTCACTGATACGAGGGAAGAGCCTCCTGGCCAGAGTTCAGTTAGGGCCATTGCCTGGAGGAAGGAGGGGCTTAACATATCCAATCACAGAAGAAACCAATACAACTAGGGAGTTGAGAAGGAGGGAGAGCAAGAAGCAGGGTAGGCTTGGTGGGAACAGAACACTCATGAAAGTAGCATGGTGGGGGAGGTTACAGTAGGGACCCAGCGTAGAGCCCTTGGGTGACCCATGGTTCCAGCATTTCCTGCTGAAGAACTGAGCTCCTAAATCTTTCTGTGTCTGGTTTCAGTTTTTCCATCTCCAATGTTTCTAAAACTATCTTTGCAGCATGGTTGTTGGATTTCATGAGTTAACATGTATAAAGCACTTCAAATAATTCCTAAAACAAGATAAACCTTTATGCCTGTCCTTCAGTGGTGTGTCTAGTGTCTCGTTAGCTCATCTTTCCTCGACCCTGTCTCCTTCCCTCCCTCTCTCAATACATCCCCAGGGTTTTTCACATGCTATATGGTAGTTCTGATTTCCTAATATCTTATATCCAAACTTCAGCTCCTATTGTACCCTACTCTATACATTCAGTTAGCTGGATTAGCTCTGACAATGTGTATCAGAAAACTCTCAATGTAGCAGATTATAAATATAAATCTTTTTTTATTTTAGTAGAAACCAAAATGCTGACTCCATGGCTACCAAAGACCTCATCCTTCCATCTCAGGCTACAAGACTGTTACCCTAGCTACTCAACTCAACTCAACTGTCTAACAAAAGAAGCTGATATATCAAGAGAATAAAACAGGAAGGATTTGGAAAGCAGAATTTACTACCAGGCTGTTGTATCCATGAGTAGCATTTGATCCATGGATGGTAGCTGCTGGTGACAGATCTAGAGAATGAATGAACACCCTACTCTTAAAGAGCTTGCAATTGAGCAAGGATAACATGGAAATGTCATTTGTATTTTAATAAATAATAAGTTCCAGATAAGTGATCCAGATCACCCATGCTGATATTCTAATTAACCTACATCCTTTCTCTGCCTTTGTATCTTCTTCCACAAAAGCAGGTCCTGCTGTGTAGTCCAGGTTGTCCTTGAACTTACTCTCCCTGCCTCTCCTAGTGCTGGAATTACAGGTATGAACACCATGCTCAGCCAAACATTTCCTAGTTCAATATTGATGAAGCACTAATCCTTTGGGGTGGTATTTGGAGATCTCTTTGGCTGGTTAATCTCATTTTTAGTGAAGAGAGAAGTCAAGAAGATTGTCAACATTGTCAGCAACCTACAGCATCAGACTAAATCTTATTCCATCACTTGACTTGTTTGGTGTGTGTGTGTGTGTGTGTGTGTGTGTGTGTGTGTGTGTGTGTGTGTATACAGAAACTGGAGGAGGACATCAAGCATCCTCCTTAACCACTCTTGTTCCCTTGAGACAAGGTCTCTCATTGAACCTGGGACTCACCATTTCAGTTAGACTAGCTGCTAAATGAGTTTCTAGGATATGCCCGTCTCTGATTGACAGTGCTGGGGTTGCAAGCACATTCAACTATGTCCAACTTTTATGTGCACCTTCGGGATTCAAACTCAAGTCCTTAAGATTATACAGAAAGTTCTTTTACCCACTGAGCCATCTCTATAGGACCCTCTATTTCTTTTTATAAGTAAAACTTCATTAGAAGATAGCCCCAACTGTTTATTTCCATGTTGCCAATCCACTTGGCATAGTCAGGTTATTTCAACAGAAATGATGTATAGCCAACAGAACCAAAAATATTTACCATCTGGCCCTTTGAGGGAAAGCTTGATGATCCCCAAGCTAGGGCATTTGCAATGTGGAGTTTATATGAACACAGGCTGTGGTGACAAATCCAAGACCAGCCTGTCACTTTCCTCAAGCGATGTTGGGGTGTGACATCATCTCTTACAGACAGGTTTTGTCACTTCTAAAATAAGGCAAAGGCTGATATCACAAAGCTATTGTGACTCATTTTTAAGACAGAGTATTGCTATGTAGTTCAAGCTGGCATCTAATTCACAATCCTCCTGCCAAGCATGGGATTACAGGGTATGAGCTGCCACATCTAGTTCCCATTATGATTATACAATGAGACAATATATAAAATTCTCAACACAGTGCTTGGCACATTAAGCTATTATTTTCCCTCTCCTATTGTTCTATCTGCATAACAACTGATTGGAAAATAATACTGTATTTATTTGGGCTTATTTATTGAGTAATTCCTGAACAATAATAGCATTTGCAGTTTAGATACTATCTAGACAGGAAGAGTATTACACATGAAAGGTTTCCAGATTCTTCCAAAGTGAGCTTCAAGCACTGTTGCCAATTTTGCATGCTGTTTATATTATTTACAAGTGACATAAAACCAAAGCAAACTGACTTTTGGAGAAAGAACAGCATCTATTGGTTCCCATTAACTAAAAGTTATTGGGTTAAATCTTTGGTACATGGTGAGCCCAGACACACAAACCACATCATGAAGACTCTGTTCTTCTCCTGGCAGAGTCTTCTGTAGGGGGACTTCAAGCTCAGGTTTTCCCCCTTATGTGGGTGCACACTCATGACTTTGCAAAGAGTCTCTATATTATAACCCTTGGGGCAAGTCCTAGCTGTGACTTGGCTCAGTAAAGTCTGTGGGTTAAAGAAAATTGTCTACATTTTTTAGTTGGTTATAAAAAAATACAGAGAAAGCTATCCAATAAAAGGAATAGTGAATGGCAGAGTCAATGGTAGTGTCTATCTATCACTTAAAGAAGAAGTAATAGTAAAAAAAAGAAGAGGAGGAGGAGGAAGGGAGGAGAAGAAGCAGCAGAAGATGGAGGAGGAGGAGAGAGGAGAAGAAGAAGAAGAAGGAGGAGGAGGAGGAGAAGAAGAAGAAGAGGAGGAGGAGGAGAAGGAGGAAGAGAAGAGGAGGGGGAGGAAGAGGAAGAGGAGGAGGAGGAAGAGGAAGAAGTTAAGAAGTTGTTATTGTTCGGCCACATATATCCACAAGTAAGTATCTCAGGTACAAATGGAATAATCCTCATTCCCTGGTCCTGGAAAAGAACGAAGGTTGCTTTGATGGGACCATGTCATTTCTGCCTTCTGGAATTTTGCTCACCCATCTGTCAGAGACATCTGAGACTGCAAGGTCAGTGGCCTCCCCAAGTCTCTTTTTGACTGTCCTGGAGTTTTTTAACCTTAGTGGGTGTATTGCTCATCTCCCCAAGTTCTATTTAATAACAACCGTCAGCATTTTGATGGTTCTTTTTTCCTGAGTACTTCTCCCCCACCTTTAGACACTTTGAAGATTCTTGTCTCTATTTCATATTTGAGTTTAGAGATACCTAGATCCGTTGATAAATTTGCCTTCTGTGATGTTTGATCTTTGGGAATCCTGGGTCTCCTGGATTGAGGACATCTCTCCAGTGCTTTCTCTATTCAGAATTTTGGGAACACGAGGGAACCATTTCCATGTTAATTTAATACCCGAGGATTTCACCATGGAGGATTTCACCTCCATGTTAGTGAGGGTAGTCCTAGGGTTCCAAAAAGTTTTTCCCATTCAGAGTTAACCTTGAGGAAGCAAACTGGCTTATCACTTCCTTGAGTTTTTGTTGTCGTTTTAAGGAGGGTAGACCCATTTCCCTTCCCACGTTCACTAAGAGTAGTGGTTTCATATGGCAGAATCAACTTTCCCTTCTGTTCTGTACTAACCATTAAATCTCAACTCTTGGCTTCTGAGATCATCTAATAGCCCCAGGCAGCCCGAAGCTTGAGTCTGCAGGTTATACTCTGGTCTTTTGTTTCATTTCATTTCGGCTCCTGGGATTTCCTCTTCATTCTTCTGAGCTCAGCTGGACATTCAGGGAGACACTGGTTGTATTTTTATACTGCTTTTACAGGTGTCTCCTAGCAGGAGGGTCTGTGTCATGCAATCCACCATATTGCTCCAAATGGAAATCCCATTAAGCCTTGGTAATCCCACGAGAGATTGTTTGAACATCATGGTCACTCAGGCTAACAAACAGTGAATGAGGTGCTCACAAGATGTGTGTAGAGACAGAGCCTGGGTGAGTGCCCAGGCGAGCGCAGGCAAGCCTGTTGCTAACAGGTTTAAGTATAAGCATTCTATCCACTTGTGTGTTAAAGACAATGGGAGCAGCAGCTTGAATACGTGGTTTAGACTCATAACTGCTAACATTGAATTTGAATTCTTTTATCTCTTAAACTAGCAACTCTGGGTTTACCATTTAACTCTTCCTTTCCCATTATGCGAACTGAGAGACAGGCAATGTATGCAAATGGCTGACCATCAACGTGGTGTGCTCTATGCGTGTCGGTGTTGGGGCAGAGGGGATCAGAGAAAGGACCAGGGATTGTGCCCCGTGTTCTGTACATGTCAGTCCAGGTGGAGTCAGAGGAAGGACCAGGCCAGTTCTGTCTTCTCTGAGGTCTTACACAAGATTAGGCTTAGGACCACAAACGCCCATCAGGATAAACCTGCCCCTTCTCAGAGCTAGATATGAAAGTAGATATGAAGGTAAAAGGAGAATTTTGGCCCAGACTTAACAGAGAGGGAAACTGTAAAATCTAAAAAATTCTGTCTGAACTGAGGAATGGAATGGGGTGAATTGGAGTTTGTGTGTTGGCCTATGAAAGAGACTTCTCAGAGGGTCTTCAGGGTGGAGTCCTAGTTTGGGAGGGTACGAGAAAAATGAGCAAAGTTCCTTGGCCTCCAACCGCAGTAGGCAATGGGAAGGGGTAAAGGTCTATTCTGGAAAGGACAACATTGAAGTGCCAGACCCTTTCCTTAGTAGCTTCCCATGCCAGAATACTGCCTCTCAAAAGGAGAACAAACAAATAAAATGACAAATGAGCTGATGTAACATGAAAAGATTTAGATAGGCTTCTGTTACAGGCTGGAATAAGATTGTAAAATCTTGAATGTATGTTTTAAAATGTTTACAAAGTGTGCTGACAAGAATATTGTCATCAGTGTTTCTTAATAGGTTGTTTGCCACCACGAAGCAGGGTGTTCTTGCTGATCTGCAAAGCGCTCTGGGGGCTGCTTCCTCCAGGGAAGTGGTCTGGGCCCTGGGAAGTGTGTTTCTCACTCAACAAGTGCTTACTCAGCAACCCGAGAGGCAGGGAGGTGATAATGGCCAGCTCTCAGCAATCCTCCATTTAATTTTTTGAAAGATTGCCAACATTGGCAGGGGCAATTATCTCTGAGCTCGGAGGAGGATTGCATAAGGTCCCGTTGCATTCAAATCTAAAGCTCAATACAGAATTAAGGTGGGATTTCCACAGCTCAATTGTTTTTTTTCTTGCTGTATTTGGGCACTAGTGAAAATTAACTCATGTACATTGTTATGATCGGTGCTTCCATGTAAAACCACGACTCTTATAGTTTAATTTTTTTTCTTTGCAGGATGCTAGTATCCCTATACTGTGACATTTTTGAAGGCTGCCAATTATGCCACCTGCTAAACTCAGCAGGTTGAAAGTAAAAACAGAAAGTTTTGTCTAAATACAGGCAGATAAAATCTGAGAGCTTTGCCGAGGAGTGAACTCCCCATCATGGAAGGTGCAAAACAAATCTATCTTATGAGACTAAAACCACAATCTTAGATATATTGAAACCTTAAGATTCTATGATTTAAAAAAATATTTGAAACTATGCATATTGCTTATAACTTCAATCCCACATTGTACCCTGGGCTACAAAATGAATTCCTGACATACTGGGCAATAGTGTAAGACCCAGTCTCAAAAAAAAAGTTGTGCACTGTTTTGATGCACTTCACATATATGAACTCTTTTTTTAATGGAAGTCAATTTCATTACTGTGATAAATAAAAGTAGATATAAACAATATGACTCCTGAAGAAAAGTGACAGAGTAAAGGGAAAATAGAGAATCTCCTATGTTGAGTCTGAAATATAATGAAAATAAGTCATCCAGTAAAACAGAAAGTGGGAAAGGA